GTCATTTATCATTTATTGAATTGGTATCGGCGAGCGTTTAACACATCTAAAGTGTGCACTCGCTCGAGAGAAATAAATTGTGCGACTGTCTAATCAGATGGCTTCGACAGGAATCACTGGATTCTAAGGGCTCGGGATTGTTTCAGGACTTGAACTTATCTCAAATATCTAGTTACTTTTCTCCAAGCGAAGCCCTTCTTTCAAATAGGGATTTTTAAAAAGAAATACGAATTTCTGGAACCTCTCCTTTTACATCTTGTTTCGAAATGACCCAGTTTCCGATGAACAATCTTAAGCTTGCTTCGGGATTGACATCCTGCTTTGATGTGGCATTGTATCCAGGCTTACAGTAAGTGTGAATCCCCCTTTCTTCTCCTGCATTTATGCATGACCATTTGATGGGGGCTGTATATGTGTATGTGTGTGTGTGTGTGTGTGTGTGTGGGCAGACCTGTAATAACCAATTTGAAATGGCACCGTAGTCACAGCCGAGGCAAATTTTGCATTTTTTAATTCTGCCACCACACACTTTCAGCCATGCTCTGCCATTCTCGTGAATTCCATGGCATTTCCCAGGCACTTAGGCTGATTAAAATGCACAGACATCCCGCAGCATCGTCATCAGAAGCAACAATAACTGGGAAATATCCACCGGCAACTGGCAACTGGCAACTGGCAACACAAACACGTTGCAACAGTTTTCGCCTTCAGATAGCTCGACATCATCAACTACGTTCGGAGTCGAAGCGGAAATTCAAAAAAGGAAAGAGCCACCGAAATCAAAATCAAAGTTTGGTGAATAACACATTTATTTCTGCTTTATTTCGGCTTTAAGCGAAACCCAAATTCCTACGAAAGCAGAAAACAACCGAAAATTACAACACTATTTGACTTTCATTTATTCAGGGAAAAATACAAAATGGATCAATTGTTTATTATTTATTACGTGTGCTAATAATAATTATATTTGCTTTCAAATAGTGCTCTGTGCAAATGTGAAATAAATTATACAATCAATAAAAGAAATACAAGAAAGTTGGCATGATACTATTCCAAAGTGGCATACTTCGAAATGCTTATCAGATTTTTCCAAGATTTCCGATTTTTTGCCAATAGGAACCCTAATTCTCGAGAACTCCGATGGTCGAAATTTTTACCCCTGTTCATGTCAGATTTTTCCCAGTTTCCCGACAGGAGATTCTCTGCCTTGAATTCAGCGAGTGATTTACTTAAGAAACAAATAGCGTAATGCGGTGAGATTTCTGTGGCGACTTCCTGTGTGAAATGTATTAAAACGAATTACTATGTGCGCTTTCCGTCTGGCCTTGCCATTAAATGCTCGGAATACTTGTAATAAAGTGTTTTTAAAAGCGAATATAAACAATGAGGAAACGCCAGCAGGACTCTCGTGATTGCGTAACGTTGGCTCGCATATTAAAATGCCGACGTCTGGCTTGTGGTTTTTTTTCCGCCTTTGTTGCTGTGTAATGTGTGGCACATTGACATCCGCCGTTTGATGTGCAACAGTTTGCATTTGCCGTACACATTTTCCCTGCTAACTCACGTGCCCTTAAATTGTGTTATTAAAAAATTTCATTAAGCACATAACGCAATTTTTATGACAGAAACAAATTGCAGCATCAAATCGACGGGCTGTGGGTGGGGGAACATTTTTCGCTTCCGCTGGGGATTCGGTTCGCCCGGATTTTATTTTTAATCTGAAAGTCGGGAAAGTCGGGAAAGCCTGGCAACAGTTGCCGAAATGAGCGGGGGGACGGGCTCGACTGCCAGGTCCTTGACGACCGAAGGAGCAAAGGCAAATCAAAGAAAAATTTGCTGATTTTCATATCAGAAAAAAATTGCCATCGTTGGCAAAAAAATGGTTCGCCATTTGCATCGGCAGCTCCAATGGCACTCCACTGAATGAGCTGTGCAAATATAGTATCTCCGACTCCCGCCCAGCCATTTTTATTGATATTGTGCATAAATTAACTTTATAAAGTTTTCGAATTGAATTTGCAACGAGTTGCACTTTTGAACGAGCCCCACACATTGGCCCAAGGAGGGAGGGAGATGGAGATAGCGAGGGAATGGGAGAGGGGAGCGGGGAGAGGATATAGACGCCGATAAAAGCGCTTCAGATTAAGTGATGTCTGACACAATTCAAACTTCAGACGAAACCTATTTAACAGCCAACAGACAAAAATTGTTCGGGATGAGTATCATTAATATCCGTGGAACAATTATGAGTGGGTATATATGTAGCTGGATATTTTAACTATTATTAATTGGATAAATGTGAGAGGGAGTAGCTCAGACTTTTAAGTGGCTAATACTACTAGGTATTGGTTAGAGTCTGAATTAAAATTTGAAGAAGCGGTCCCTTAAGTAAAATTCGGAATTCACGTATTTGCAAACCGGAGTACTTGTACATCAATATTTTCACTCCACTTTCTCCGAATCCCTCGCATCGAAGCGAGTATTATATGCACATCTTGCAGCTTAATGGAACTGAAATTGATTTACGAAAACACTTCAAACGGCTCAAGTCCAATTTCGATTGCATTTGGCTTGTGCATCGGGGTCGTCAGCCCCCCGCAGCCACGCCCCCCGCCTCCTCAGAGCATATGGCCGTGCCCCGGTAGCCCCCTTCGCGCCAAGTCCCTGGATAAGCGGTGCGGTGCAAATGCCAAGCGGAGTCGGTATAAATTCATTTATTCATGAGCCCGAACCAGGAAATGAATGGGAACTACCTGCCGCCCCCTCGCATGCGTTTGTGAGTATGAATATGAGTACACGCGAAGAAAAGGGATTTTAATACAAGTGAAATTGGAAAGGTTAAGTTGACTAACTAATTTAGGTTATTTTTCCGTTGCTTCATTGCCCGAATTAGGAGGTTTAATTCTCTTGCTTACTTCCCATTCCTTCCACAAACATCACACTCAAATATTTTTCGATATTATAGCTTCGAGGAGATTTTGGGTGAGTGTGTGTGCATAATGTATGTCTGTCTGCGCCCATGTTGGAATTTCATGAGCGATGAAACATCTCGAATCTCGTCGCCCCTTTCGAGTCCTCTTTTGTGTCCTTTGAATCATGAGTTATGGGCCGAGAAGTTGGCAACTTTTCACCGAATCTTCCATTCAGCGCTGGCCCCTTCAATTTTCTTCTCTAATGCAAGTGTTTGGGCGTGTTTGCCGAAACTTAAATTGTGCGCATTATTGGCAGAGTGCACTCAACTGCACTCACACATGCACTCACTCACTCAGCGAGTCGCTGCATGAATTTGCGCCAAAAAGCGTTTAAGCGGCATATGGCCAGGGGGCGTGGCCGGAGAAGGGCGTCAGGTCTCGGCAATCGCAGCAAATGCATGCATACACACTCGTAGACTCAAGTGCCTCGCTGCACACAAATGGCGAAGGAACGCTCGCCCAGCTTCCATTTCTATTCACAGTAGACGCTCAACTTTCACTTTGAATTCGCCAAGTTTGGCCACTCCCCCTCCCCTCTCCCCTCTCTTTCTCCTCTCTTCTCTCCCCTTGACTCGCAAAAGTCTCTTACTTTGCCTCGCCTTTGATTTAAAGATTTATCGTGTTTTCCGTAGCATACTTATGTGCGCCATTTACATATTAATGGGACAGCTGCCGCGCAGATGACATCAATTCATAGGCGCTCGCTAACAAGTTAACCCCTTAAATGCCACAGTCAAGTGGGGGTGTCTATGTCGTATAATTTTGAATCCTTTGGGGCTGGAGTACAGCCATTTGGTAATTCCCAACCATTAGGTGAAAGTGTGTTTAAAGCTTAAACATCTCCCAATATAAAAGTGTTCTTTAAAGTAGTAAAAACTTTCAAAGCAAGTATTTCCCTCTCTTAATATCCCATATTTTAGAGGTCTACTTTGATTTTCTGAGCACTTGCAATGAGTGGGTTAATCCCCCAGAACGACTGGCTGACTTGGTTAACTTTTACCATGAACCTTTCCCGGATTATCAATAATTCCGACTGCAAATTTTTGAACGCAACCGTTTCCATGCCTTCGATGAAATCTCGGGGGATTATTGTGGTCGAATGTCAAGTTGAAAACTCTCCTGCGTAATGGGAAAAAATATGAAAAGCCGAACTCAGTTTGGTGACCACCTCGCATAGCTCCCCGCCCACAAGCAGACAAGAAAAGCCATATTTGTCACAATATTCCCACTCGTCACTGTTGTTGGCCCCATTTCATATCGTTGCGCTGCACAAATTCAATTGAATCAAGTCATTTCTGTTTGTTTGGCAACTTGTAGATACACACAACATCGAATCGAGTCCTGAAAGGGTTTCCCCCGAACACAACAGGAAAACTTGTGTGCAATATGTCCTGCAAAATATGTGACAAGCACAAACTGTTGTTGAGCAGTCGGTGAGGGCCATGCCCATAATAGCCGATATTAAATGCACTCCGAACTGGCTCGGGACAATGGCAATGATTGAAATGCCATATTGCCAGAGCAGCACTCCCCACTCGGCCTGGGGGGCACTTGGAGTCCCCTCTGCTGGCCAGGAACGGAAAATCTAATCAAATCACGCAGTTGAGGTCTTAATCAGACCGAGACATTCCCAACCAAGGAGCCCACCTTGTCTGTCAATTTATGGCAGTCGACTGATATGCTGATAAGGGGGTGCCATGCAATTGCCAACTGATGAAATGGCAGGCGAAGCCAAAAATTGTTGATTTCGAGCACATATTGGTGCACTGTTGCGTGGCCTTAAGGGAAAGAACCCAAATGTGCCAATGAAATGGAAAACGTGTAAATTAGATATCGTTTGCCCAAACTTATAATTACCTTTTAGTATCCCATTGTATGTCTTATGGACATTATTATATTATATGAAAAAAATTGAAGAATTTTGAAGGCCTTTTTCATATTCATTTCTTCCAATAAAGCTATTTAAGAAAGGTTCTTGCTGAACTATTTTATAATCTCCTTTTAATAGCTTCTCTTCTTTTTCCGCAGTTTTGGAGCCGGCGTTTCCCATGCGCGATGTGACCATAAACCGGAACGTCGACGCCCACAAACTCTACGACGTGCTGGGCGAGGTGGGACGGTGAGTATCCCGCAGCCTCGGTGGAATCGTTGAGTAATCAAATGTATCCCTCTGCAGCGGGAAGTTCGGCACGGTGTACAAGTGCAAGGACAAGGCGAACGGGCTGCAGCTGGCGGCCAAGTTCGTCCCGATCCCGAAGAGGGAGGACAAGCGGAATGTGGAGCGGGAGGTGGAGATTATGAATTCATTGCAGCATCACCTCATTATCCAATTGTACGCGGCATACGAATATCAGAAAATGATGTGCGTCGTCCTGGAACTGTAAGGATACCGAGATGCCGAGGCGTCGCGACTGAATGTGTTGATTTGCTTGTCTTGTCTCGTGGGACCGACTTCCTTTCTGTCTTTCTGTATATTTGTTTGGGGGTAGATTACGCTTGGTAACCAAAACTTAGGAGGAGGCTCTAAGCCATGCAACGATACAAAACTGGAAGCCAGAAGAGGAGAATGCTCAGAGAAGAGAAGCATTTTCTATTAATTTAAAGGGAAATCCAGCAGTAAAACGCGGAATACGCTCCGCAAATCCAAAGTATAATTGAGATCTTAGAGGGCCATTGCCTTGAATGTATTCCTCAGCATGGCTCACTTCTCCCCAAGTAAGTTTTGGTTACCAACTCCGGGTCACCCTAATGAATACTTTCGCACTCAGATCCACTATTCGTTCAGTTTGTTCCCCCTTTGTTGTTCGCCACTTTGTTGCCGGGACACAATATCTTGCAATCAGTGGGAATGTGCATAAAATGCGATTTACACGTACGCACATTATCGTAAACTAGTAAACTTTTCTGCCACACCCAAACACAAAGCACTCACACAAAGTCCGAAAGAAAAGCCTTCAGCAACAGGTTTTCCCTTGGCACGCAGCATTCACAAAAATTTACAGCAACTTTTATTCGCCTCGCTAAAGTTTTTCCCAGCTCTTTGTTCGCAAATGAATGGAGACATGGGTTAAGGCCCTAATGGGCCATAAAAACGATTGAGGCAGGTGTTTGGCCCACTGATTAGTCGACGGCCTTGACCCACATCCGCCACCCAGAGGGGAAATAAAAGAAACACGAAACAATTTCGCTTCGTTTTCATAGACCCAAAGACAAGGCCCGAAAGACTTTGTCAACTTAAATTAATTTCCAACAAAACAAGGAAACTGCAGTTTGGACAACTTGGGCTGTTGTTCTTGCCGCTCTTGTTGTTCTTGTCTCCTCCCCAGGAAAAGTTAATTGTTGACTGGCATAGTTATCCTTGGCATATTCATAACAGAATGTTCAACTACGGGCAGCATATTTTCCGAAGAAGAAAATTCCTCGCACCGAGACGAGCTGCAGGGAAACTTTAAGCTCAAACAAAGTGTTACTATTTCATGTAGATTTAAATCGAAAAGTAATATCTTACCAGGAATACCTAAACATTGTTGTCTACGGCTTAAAAGTTTCAGGAGATATTCTTTGCTTAAATATAATCTCATTTCGGCAATGGAATTGAGTGGGATACTCAACTATCTAATAATTAGAGAGAATTTATATCAACGTTTGCTGTTATCCACTTTGTGTAGAAACATTTGTTTAGCCTTTGAATACTCTTAATTGTAATCAGTTTGTGCACAACATTTTTTTCAATTTATTTGCTTTGTAGAATATTTGTATTAATTTTTAATTGGACTACGACGGACTTACCAATTTATTTCGGACTGTGCCTGAAGTGCCGCACTCGCCAGCAATTGTCCATCTGGTAATAACAGTATTCCATTTCAAACTGGAAATGCACAAAGGTCCACATGCAATTTTAATTTACTCAATTTTGGGGTGAAGTGCATCAACTAACTAACAACCCGAAAAAGCAGAGAAAAACTAATGCACTGCGGCTTTTCTCCTGTTTTTTCGACATTTTTCATGAGCATCCGATGGAATACTAAAAGGGGTTTTGTGCTGTGTTTGTCGAAATTCAATGGCGAATCTCGGCTGACGTTTGTTCGAGTGTCTGAACATAATTCCCCCGATCCAATCCGCATGCTGTTAGTTGATGCCCGTCACTCGGCGGATGGATGTTCATGGATTATCTGATTTTCGTGTCTGGCAGAGCAATCGGTTCTCTTGTAAATAACATAACTAGTTTAGAGTGGGCAGTCAGGTAAGGTGACTAAACACGAAGCTAAAACCTATGGTTAAAAACGAGGAGGAGACACTAATTGAAAGGCGATAACCCTGCTTCTGGTGCTTGGTTTGCATGTTTTGCTATGTGATTTTTAGAGTTCGCATGCCCCTTTCCCTAATTTCCTCGTGCCTCCGATTCACCCAATTTTCTTTCAATTTTCAAAGCATCGAAGGTGGCGAGCTCTTCGACCGCGTGGTGGACGACGAGTTCGTCCTCACCGAAAGGGTCTGCCGCGTCTTCATCCGCCAGGTGTGTGAGGCCATGGCTTTCATCCACGGCAACGGGATAGTCCACCTGGATCTGAAGCCCGAGAATATCCTGGTGCTCACACAGAAAGGAAACCGCATCAAGATCATCGACTTCGGTCTGGCCCGTAAGTTCGATCCTGACAAGCGACTCAGAGTAAGTATCCATCGCTTCGAAATACTTTGCACGCAATCTCTTATTTTACCTTGACTGGCTTTTAGGTTCTCTTCGGCACCCCAGAGTTCGTCGCTCCAGAAGTGGTCAACTTCGACTGTATATCCTATGGAACCGATATGTGGAGTGTTGGTGTGATATGCTATGTGCTGTAAGTTTTGAAAACATTCTAATATAATATCCATACACGTCCTAGCAATTAAATCATAGCTTGTACACTCGACACTGCTCATTAAATTAAAACAAAAATTCTTCCAAAGATGTTAATTTTACCGCACCCTAGATTTCGGGAAACACAATGCTTTCGAACCGTTTATGGGGTAGAGCAGCAATTAGAAATTTAATCAAGCCCCGCTCTCATATCTCAAGGGTAGGTGCTTGGCAGGAAACCAATTAAAAATGTGTTCCAGCTAAAAATGTGATAATCAAAGGGGGCGGTTCGGTATCTCCCCCTCCCCCGTCCTGGCAAATTTAATTTAGTTAATTAAGTGTTGGTTTTGTGTTTTTATTTATTCTGCTTACGCTGCCTTTACATTTCATGTTTATTGACTCTCCCACACCTCGGAACCCACACACTTGGAACGCCGCGATTCCGCACGATGCGATATGTGTGGCTGAACCCAGCATCTCAGGACTGTCGCCTTTCATGGGCGAGAACGACATTGAGACAATGTCGAACGTAACCATTGCGAAGTACGACTTCGAGGACGAGTGCTTCAACGGCATCTCCCCCGAGTGTCTGGATTTCATAGCCAAGCTGCTGGCGAAGGACCTGAGGTGGGTGTTCGCAGTCTCCCTAATTAGAGCCTGCCGCTAACCCTCTCTATTCCGATTCCGATTCCGATTCCCCAGCACTCGGATGACGGCCGCCGAGTGCATGAAGCACAAATGGCTCCAGCAGCGGCCGGCCACCGCCGCCACGGCCACGCCCATCACAAAGGCCGCCTCCGCGGCGTCGAAGTCGCGGCTGAAGTCGGTGTCTCCGGTGACGGCTCCCTCGGAGTCCTCCGAGGACTCCACCGAGACCATCGAGGACGAGGACGACGAGGAGGAGGAAGTGGAAGTGGAAGTGCAGGCGGAGCAGGCCAAGCAGGAGGCAGCCCAGCAGGACGAGGAGCTGGCCAAGCTGTGCAGCTCCGCCGACCTGGAGGTGAGCACATAATCGGAACGACGGGAAAGGTGTCAGGGGAACCAAGCACCGACTACCGAGGTGTCATATTCCCAGAGATGTCGGGGTTGGCGTACTTTGTACACGAAAAGAAGGGTTACTTTAAATGCGAATCAGTACTCAAAAATGTTGTGCACTCTATTTAAATTCAGTGGGGTTTTAAGATTGATAGGTACAGATCGAAATAGCGCCCAAGAATGGTTAAATATACTTTTGAAATGCAGAAATATTGCCCGAGTACCTATCGACTACTGTACCCCGCACCACTGGCTCTTTGCAGGACAAGGAGCTGGACGCCACGAAGGACAACCTGAAGAACTTCATCGTGCGCTGGGAGACGCACCCGAACAGCCCGTACGTGTTCGACGTGGAGGGCAACGTGATTGCGCCGCTGGGCGAGACGAGCTACCCGCATCCCCGCAGGACCCACGGCCAGGACAGCCTCTCCTCCTCCCGAGGTGAGTACGGATCCCAGCGACAGCGCGACCGACACGCCCTCATCCACGGCAAGTGAGGCATCCGCATCGCACCTCCGACTGGATCGACTTGTATATTACACGATTAACTTGTCAGACTAATTGTTGTTCTTAACTTGAATGTGGACCAGGCTGGCCAGCCCCCGTCCGCCTCTCTCGCCTCCGTCTCTGTATTAACCCCTGTCGTCAGTTACTTTTTGCGGACGCGGGGCCCGGCTGGCCAGCCAGAACTGTTGTTTATGTTTAAGTAACCGTAGCCGTAAGCAATGTGCCCGGCGTCCTTGTAGCGGACGACCAGCTCTTTAACCACTTGACACTGTGATAATGACAGCCATTGACAACAACTACTGAAATATATATATCCAATATGTAACTCAAACTCCAGCACAGCGGTTCTTCTCTGTAGTTTCTTCGCGATGAGAAACCGAATTCCATCCAAACTCTGTCCATTCCCCATTCCCCATTCCCCATTCCCCAATCCCCCTTCCAAGCCCAAATCCCTACCAGAATCCAGAACTACCCGACTCCCAGTTCAGGTTTCGATCAGCACACATACTCGTAACGCCACGGGTTCTGGTCCGCCAGCCAGGTAAGCCCAACATCCAGCTCCGAACTCCATCATCCTCAGAGATCGCAGTCAAATTCCAAAGTCAGCCTCATGTTCATTTGTGGTTTGTCCGCCAGGAAGAGTCAACTTCAAAGTCTGAGAATAACTATTTCCTTGTGTATAAAAGCACTTTATTTATCCTTTTTCAAAACAGTAATTCTTTCGTATGGATCAATTATAATACAACTATTTATCAAGTAAGGCAGTAAGGCAGGCAGTCGCTTTCTCCTTTTTTAGTTTGAGAATATTAAGTTCATTGCCTTATCAACGTGTTTTAAAGCTGCCTAATTATCCTTTTCTGTAGATGATCACTCACTAACCCATTTGCAAGTTTCGATGTTACCAAGAGCCACTCTACACAACTCTCTGGACTCATTAGCATGATTTCCGTGTGTGAATTACCATTTCATGTACACTAACGTGTCTGTTAACTCTTTCGGCAATAAACCCACAACCTCTTACTGACCAGATGCTCCCAAAATGCCAGTCTAAGACCCATCTCCACTTGCAGTTTGCTCGCCCTCGCCCTGCGAATCCATCGCCACTCTGACGGACGACGAGCGCGGCGAGGAGGAGGAGGAGCTGCCCGAGGAGGACGAGTCCCGGAGCGCGGACAACGAGAGCCCCCACTCGGTGGCCACGCCCATCAACGAGTCCCGGGAGAAGCTGTTCCCGGCGGTGGCCACCTCCAGCCCGGCCACGCCCACGCCACAGCACCTGTTCAACGAGAACTTCGACGAGTTCTCCGGCAGCCAGTCCTCCGCCCAGCAGCAGCGCAGCATGAAGAGCTACCTGCACACCTTCGACCGGCGCAACTCGGACACCACGTACCTCCTGGGTCGCCGCAGCTCCGGCGAGCGGGTCAACCTGGCGGACGAGATCCGCAAGCTCTCCGACCACCTGCTCATGCTGGCCGAGATCAACACCAAGCTGGGCGATGCCAACAACAACGGCGGCAGTGCGAGTAACAGTGGGAAGTCCGATCCCGACCCGCCGGCTCCTCCAGCCCCCAGTCCCTCAACTCCGTCCGGCAGCAGCTCCAGCAGGACCTCCGAGGTCAACCAGGAGGGTGGCCGGTGGAGCAGCAAGAGCACCGCCAGCAGCAGCTGGAGCCGGCCGACTGCGCGGGGAGGACTCCTAAGCCAGGCCAGCAGCAGCTCCTGGAGCCAGAGCAGCTACGACGACGGCCAGGGCAAGACCAAGGTCAGCTCGCTGTCGGTGCGGCTGCAGCAGTCCATCGAGGAGACGCCCAAGCTGAGCAACGGCAGCAGCTCGGCCTCCAAGTCCCTGGTGCAGTCGCAGCGCAGCAAGTCCACCGTGCAGACGGTGAGCAGTTCCAACGCCAGGAGCACCACCAGCCAGCATGTACAAAGAACCAGCACCACCTCCTCGAAGGTGATCTCCAGCAGCAGCGCCTCCGCCTCCAGCAGCTCCAGCCACCAGATCTCCACCAGCGCGGGCCACGAGTCGGCCAGCAGTCGGCGGGCCAAGTTCCGGATAAACCAGATGAGCCGGGACGTGCCCGTCGGCCTGCCGGACACGCATCAAACCGTGAACCTGGAGGAGGCGGCCAACACCACCAAGGACTGCCTGCTGCACCTGCTGGAGAAGTACAACGAGACCCGCATCCGCAGCCCGATGGGGCGCCACCAGAGCATCAGCGTGGACTGGCACGTGAGCGACAACCTGGAGTACCGCTCCATGAGCTCCATCAACGCCTTCTTCCAGCGGCACAACCACACCGGCGGCGGCCACAACGTGCGGCACATCCAGGCCCAGCTGGAGGAGAAGGCGGCGGGGAAGTAGGCGCCCTCCCGGAGTCCACTGTATATATCCGGTTTGTATAGATGTATGTAGGCAGAGATCGACTTAACGGAAGCTAGGTAAAACTACGAGGTGGCAAGTGGAACCATTTAATATTTATGTACTTGATGTAAGCGATAAATGAAATTAAATTATTGAATAAAAGCAAAAACATGAAAATCTCTGTTGCCCTGGGTCGGGATGTCTCTCACAAATGTGCAAGAAATAAAACCATCTTCACTTACTACCAACTAAAAAATCAAAAACAATTTATTGCAGAAAAACAAATATTAACTTATAAAATGTACAAAATCGGTTGAATAAACTACATTTAATAACTACGTCTACAACCAAAGCAATGGATAGGAAGGAATAGAAGTGAATCGGTAGCAAACATTTAAATAATTGTGTGTTTTTTCTGTTTTAAAGAGCATATTGGGCGATGTTTTGTTTTGTTTGTTTTATGTTTATTGAAGTATAAGTTTGCGTGTAATTTAAATATACATAGAGCATCTATCTATACATATAAATATTAGGAGAATACTTTGGATTTGTTCTTAGTTAGGCTTACAAATAGAGGCTTTGTATAACTGTTATGAAGAATAGGCTCTGCCTATGTGTATAGTATAGTAATCTAGCATTTGTACATGATAGTTTTAGGCAAAACTGTTTTCATAATTTGCCCAGAGATCAAAGCAAATCATAAGGACATTTTACCACTGGTTAAGAAATGAGAGCGCGACAATTCGTGCGCATTTGGCGGCCGTCGAACGAACGCGGCATCCAAACGCGCAGAAATTGAAGTAAATAATTCAAAGACATTCCTTTGTTTGTTTTTCCACTGGTCGAATTGGGTACAATGTTAGTGGGTCACAAAACAAGGCAGCAATGAGCCGAAAGCAGGCTCATTGGGGCTCCGTTTTAGCGCCCTCAAAGTGCAACACGGCACCAACGACAAAATTCAAATCTGCTCTGCCCTGAGTTGCTGGTTTTCGGCAAACTAACAAGGGCAGAGAGCAGGGATGAGTTTTGTTTCCTGCCAAATTTCAAATGCAAAAGTTGCCGGAGAAATTTGAAAGGGTTTTACAAAGTTATGTAAAGTTAGCATTTCATCGTTATAAAGGTTAAATTTCGGTTGGCTTCAACATAGTTAAGACTAATTCCATTTAGCTTGCGGTCTCTCTCTTCTAGTTCAATAGTTGGTTGTTGTTAAGAACTAATCACTTAGTTTATGGCATTTCTCACTAGAGAAATCTAAAAAGTTTCATGTAGCTCGAGCTTACTGGTTGGCTTACAACTAATTACTGGTTACGAGTAGTTGAAGACTAACGATTAATATTCGCAACTGTCGCCCTTGCACTGCATAAAAAGGTTCGTAATAAAAATTAGGAATACTACACAATCGCAGTGGCTTATAAAAAATCGTTTAAAATTACAAATTGCAATTCGGTGGGGTTGGCCAGCGAATCCGAGCGTTAGTTGTGGCGCGGACGCTTCAGCATCGCCCCGAAGTGCGTCCCCAACCCGATTCCCCGCTGGAGCTCGAACTGGCGGATGAACTGGGGGAGCTGGTGCGCAGACGCTTTGCGGGGGACAGTTTCTTGGGAGCCTGAGCCAGGCGCTTGCGCTCCTTCATGAACTCTGCAAACAGAAGAGAAGAATCGTGTTATTAATCTGTGTTACGTGTGATCGACAAATCAAAGTCAGCTGCTGCACTTCCGGTCGTCCCTGTTGAGAAGTCATTGATCCCTGAACAGCAGGCGCCGCCTGTTTTTGCACATTTTGATTTCGGATTCGGGTAGATCCCAGATTGTGGCACGTGGCCGGCAGCAGTTCCCTGCAGAGGGTTGCAGATCCGCACAGGGGTAGCAAATAAGTGCCAGACGGCAGCCAGACAGTCGGTCCCCAGCCGGTTTTCAGGTAGTGCGGTGAAAGCGAGAGTGGTGGTGCATAGCTGCATAAATTACGCGCTCCAGCTTACTGACCAAAGTAGCAAAAAGTACACCCAGAGCGCTGCGACTCTGGGCTTTAGGGCTTCAGGGGCTTCCCGACTGACCACCCGATGCGGGTGCATTTATAATGCCCCGAACAGACACTTTTTACGATTATAATTGCACTGCGTGTGCGAGTGGCATATAAAAAGCCGAACACAAAGCAATCAAAGGGAGGTTTGATAAGGCCTCGGACCCTGGATGGTGGTGCATTGAAAGCCGATCCCCAGACCCCTTCTCTCCTCGTTTTCTGTAATGAGGTCATGGCATAGACAAAGCCGAGTCACAGCTGTGGCATTTATAGATGCAGCCAGCCAGCCCGCATGCGATCGATCTGGAAACCAACCCCCGCGTAGCCAAGGATCAGCTCAGAATAGTTTGGTTTCGCCGATGAAGAGCTGCGGCAGCTGCCAACAGCTTTGAAGTTGCTAACCCTTTTTAAGGAAAATAAATCTCCCACAAAACATTCGCTAATTGCTGTAATTTGGGTTTAGTTGCACGAGATACGCCCACTTCAAAAGGTCCCAAGTCCTTGTGAAAATAAACAATAAAAGATGAGGGAGTGCTGGCAAACAATATGAAGAACCAATTAATACCCCCCTTTAAAATTTAAATAAATGGCGTCTTTGTTTAACCAAAAAAAATTATCAACAGTAAAAATAAATGCAAAACTCAAACTCAAAACTGAAATAAAATGTTTTGTAACTGCCTAAATTAAACAGGTCACTCCCTCAACTTCCGCCTGGGAAAAACAGGAAAAGAGCTCAAAGCTATGGGAAACCAATTTGTATCGCCCACCGAAGTGCAATGAAGCTTGACCCTGGGAACCGTCAAGCCTGGCTGATCAATCCGTTGTGGAATAACTAAGCCTGAGTGGGAGACTCACCTGTGATTTTGGGCTGTCGCTTGCGCAGGACTATCGAGGAGGTGCTGGCCAGGCTGGAGGAGCTGAACCGCGTCGTCAGTGACTCGTCCTGTGAATCGTAGCAGGAGTCGTTGTCCGTCGTGGACTCCAGCGAGGAGTTGGCCAGGTTGGAGCCGAAGTTCTCTCGCTCGGAGCGCTCGTTCACCAGAACATCCATGTCGCTGGGGCTGCAGTCGGCGGAGGGACGAACATGGGCAGCTCGGGTGAGGGTGTACATCTCCGGGGCGAAGCTGGACTCCTGGAAGCTGACGCGTTCCCAGATGAAGGGCGACTTCTCGGCCAACGGGCAGCCGGCGCGGAAGTCAAAGCCCCACTTTTGGGTGGCCAGCTCCTGGTGGCGCTCCAGTTCGGCATTAAAGGGTCTAAAAAGATGTTAAGTTAGTTGGGCCTGTATCAAATGGGGGTTTTCGCAAACTCACGTTTTGTTGGCTGTACCCTCGGTGGACTTGGAGCTGCCGAACAGGTCACGCTTGATGCGGTTGAGCTGGCGACCGCAGGGCAAATTGCGACTGAGCGCGGGACTGCTGGTAATCTTGCAGAACTCGCTTAGCATAGCAGGATTCAGGACTCGAGCACTGACCATGTTGACTAATCTTAGACTGCGATCCGATTCACTCGACTTTTTCTGCTCTGTTTTGGGACGCAGTTTCCTCGCCACTTGTTTGCGAAACTCACGCCAAAGCGAACTGTCAAACTTTTGGCGCCAAAACTTTGTTTTCGGGCAGCCCCAAAAGAGAACGAGAGAGAGCAGTCTCCACACAAATACAAATCACGGTCTCCACACTTTCGTGAGTGTGGGAGATCGAGTGTGCGTGTGTGAGTGCGCTGTGGAGCAGCCTTTTTGCGTTTTGCCTTCAAAATTGAAATTTCACACTGCAGTTGTTTATAAAATGATTATAAACAAAGTTCTTAGTTTAACAGCACTTGGTCACGGTTTTCGGTTGACGGTTTGGCACAGTACACTGCAATTCTATTCACAAAACGGAACGTTTGTGTGTCTTTTGATTTTTTAACTGGTTGTTGCCCTGTGGCAGCACTTCTGGTGTCTTGTGTGTTTATACAACTTGCAAGCGTTGTAGCAGCGAGGTTTGTTGACTTTTTCGGGTGTTGTGTTCAGTGCACTGCGCCCTGGGGTTTAAGATATAGCGCTTCCGATCGGGGCGAACCTCTTTCGGCGAACTCAGAGAAACGAATAAATGATAAATAAAACACGGAGCAAAAGCAAACGTCAAACAACCACCACGCGGAGTTGCCGGATAGTAGACAGAGCGGTTCGCGCTCTCTGTCAAGCAACCCTCGAATTCAAAACGATCGAAGCGACAGCGAGCGAGAAGGAGACGGAGGATGAGAACTGAGCGGTTCTGTTTGAATGCGCTTTTATTTTGTTGTTGGGCACGTCGAAGGGGCAATTCACTTCTTGGGCTCGATTATAATACTTGATAAAACTCAAACCACTAAGAAATTAACATTTTGTTGTTAAAAAGAAAGTTTAATGAGAAGTACAAAAATGGAAATACTAGATTCTTAAACAAATAAGCACCACACATATTTTTTCAATTGGAAAATGGAAGCGTACAAAAAGTCGGTCTGACTCCAATGTCTCTCTCACTCCTTTCTCCCTCTCTCTTTCTGACTATCTGTCGCTCTCTCTTTTTCCATCCGAGTGTTTGTTGTTGCATTGGTGGAGCTGTACTTTTGGTTACGATTACGATGGGAAGATACAAAAATAAAAATGCTTTGGCTTCGGTTTGTTTGGCTTCAAACTGGATTTTTAGCTGTCAAAGGGGCGTGGCAGGGGGCAATTTGGGGCAGCGATTCTTTTCACTTTCCTCGTGTTGCCAAGGGGAAAATCGCGCATGCAATGTGGGGCACTGGTCCAGTGTATACAGACCCAGTCTAGATTCTGTAATTTCCTCGTGCAGTTGCCATAGCAATGGGAATTTTGAAATTTCCGTTAAGGCTCACTTTTTTATTTCCAAAGTTTTCTGCTTATTTTATGCTGCATTTTCCATAAGTTTTTCACTATTCATGTGCAAAATCGTAAAAAATTAAATTACACTACCAGAAGCAATAAAACGAGATTTATATTGTTTGCACAAATCCAATTAAATAAGAAGGAAAGAAAGGGAACAAAGCCCTGGAAGTCAGATTCGAAGACTAAAGACATCATTTGCTTTGTCCTTTGCTCTCGACGAAATAATGTGAAACCTCTTGGTTTTCCACATAAAAAACCGAGAAAAAACGAGGAAAATCGGAGTGCAATCACCCCAAAAAAGGCAGAGATCGTTTGACGACCGTTCGATTAGGCAGCATCATCCATAATTCTTCCCCGAGCACTCCCATGCGATCCGAACCCTTGTGGTTCGGTTTCTGTTTACGGGACACACCCTCCCTCGAGAAGAAAAGCGACGTGAATTTACACACTTTATTACAAATTTGAGAATTCTACCGGCGTTTGGTGGCAGTCATGCCTGAAAACATAAACAACTCAAGAGTTTTTCGAAAGGGGGAAGAGTTCGTGATCCCTTTAAGTAATTTCCTCCCGAGCAGGATATCCTGGCAACTACTTGTAGTATATGGGTTGTGTCAACACACGCGGAAAACTAAAAGGCGTAGAAAGGAGGTGGAAAAGCGGTTTCAAGTGCCCGGCTATAGGGGCCGATCCCGAAAGGATTGTCCTGGAACGTGCGGGCACTAGATGACACTCAAGGTATTCGCTTGATTGGAGTCCATAATGCTGGTTGGATCGAAATCGGTTCTTATCGGACGCTCCCTAATACGCACTTAACTATCCTCTGAACCGATAAGAGCTAGGCAAACATCATCAGCAGTTCCGTGGCGAAGGTCGCGGTCTGTAAAACACTATCTCGTATCTATTGAAACCTCAACAAAGTCCGGTCCTGCCTCGACATGAATGTATAAAAAATACGTTACACTCATTTCGAATGCAACGCGTCTTATCGCCCCGGCACTCAGCTCACAATCAGCCAGCCCAGTCCACCCCAGGAGGAGGTCCAAGATAGCCCACTCTATAAAGCATATAGGACCGAGAACTTGGCCCGACCTGCCACGTGATACGGTGGTGGGGGTGCAAATGTTCAGCGAGCATGACCAACCGGCTAAGTAACGCTCGAAATTGCCGTAAGATAGTTTTCAAACACTCTCCGCTCCGTAAGAAAATTACCATAAAAACTGTCCAGCTCACGGAACTGTGACCGCAATTCCGAAATTTTGCCAGGCAGGTGTGCTAAGACTAGGGATATTTCGAGGGTTCAAGCCAATTTGTGGGAGTGTTTCATTACGTAATAGCAACCAATAGACGGGAGGTATAATGAACTGCGAGCAAACGTTTACTTGGTTAGATTGGCAGAGAAATTAAGGAAGAAAATATTATCGTTTTATAACAACTGGAATCTTTGAAACGGTCATAGGAATACGGATCGAGATATTAATTATACTTGTATCTGGTACCCTGCTCAGAGTCGGGAAACAATCTGTACATCTCAGATCGCAACCTTAATCACAGGGATCCCTATCCCGAGTGTTAGCGAGCAGTTACCCTGGCAAATGACCCATCATTAATATTACCAAATCTCTGGCCAGGACATTTATAAATGACTTTCGCTCATCTGGCATCTTGTGCTCGGACAAATTGCGGTCAGATCGAGGAGTTATTGATGGATTTCCTCAAAGTGGAGTGCAAATAGTCGGGCAGTATGCAAATATTTGGACTGGCTACCGGGCAGGCTAATCCTTTGCTGATCCTGCGGCTACTGTGCTACTTCCACTCGACTCATCAATCACGGCAAGGCACTTGTGCTGACCGCGGACTAAACTGGCATGACAACTCATTTTATTGGGACAGTCTCTCGGTGGACAAACACCCGAGGAGGTTGTGTGAAAAGGTTCCCTGTTCCTGGTAAACGCGTGGAAAACGTGTTTGGGAAAAATCGTTGGCTCAGCGTGATGCGAGGAACTCGTTTTTTCGGCCGAGACTATAAATATTTATGGAAAACCATTTGAGGAGAGCGGACCCGAGGAAAGACAAACAAACAGAGGCTTGGAGTCAAGAAGTTGTCAAATCCCAAGGTATCTTAGGTCAGGAAAGCAGATCACCCAGAGATGTATCTCTCGGATCTCGGATCTCGGCACTCTGTACTCGTATTTGTGTACGCTATCTGCGGCCGAACTACCCCAAAAAAGGAAGAAACCTCAGTCACTTTTGGATACATATTCGGTACATTAGGGGCCCTGGCACCCCGACTCCGCGACTCTTTGACTCCCCGCCTCCCAGAGCAAACGCAACTCAAATAATAATAAAAACGCATTTATGACTGCATCGGCGAGAAACGCCATAAAGCAGCGAGGCAATCAGCGTCGGCGATCGTTCCAATGCGAGAAACAGCCGAAAATCCTTTTGAAAATCATCCAGAAAACAGGTTGGGAAAGAAGGCAGGTAGATCGCCGGCCATTTGGGGTTTTCAATCACAAGACGAATTTATTAGGGAGCAAGAGACGTGACCCTTTCCTTTTTTTTTTGGTGATGGGGAACAGAAACAAACCAAACGAACAACAAACTCGAACTAAGGCAGTGTACAGTTGCGCAGGGGTTCAGGGGTTCAGGGGTTTAGCTGATGGACTCGTCCTCCTCCAGCTCCACGTCCTCGTCCCAGGAGCTCTCGCTGCTCCACGGACCGCTCTGCCTGGGCAGGTTGTGGCGCCAGAGGACGGTGGTCCCATTGCTCCTGGCGAAGGCGCACACGTCGCCGTCGGGACTGAACCGCAGGGAGCACACCTCGCCGCCTCCGCTGCCTCCGCCGCAGTCGAAGGAGTCCAGGAGCGCATCCGTGGCGAAGTCGAACTTGTGGACGTGGCCCCGACCATCCCCGCAGGCGTAGCACTCCTTGCCGGGGTGCAGGGAGGCCGAGGTGACCTTGAAGGGCAGCTTGCGCTGCCGCAGGACCTCGAAGCGCCGGCAGTCCAGGAAGAGCAGGCTCTCGCCGTAGGCTATGGTCACCGTCTCGCCGTCGGGGTGCAGCTCCAGCGACTTGGCGTGGTGGGGCAGCACCACCGAGTGGCTCCGCTGGCCGCTCAGGCAGTCCCACAACTGCACGGTGCGGTCGTAGGAGGAGCTGAGCACGCAGCGCTCCCCCAGGCAGAAGGTCACGTCCCTCACGCCGCGCTGGTGACCCCGCATGACCACCAGGGCCGTCTGCTCCTTCTTCTCCTTCTTGTCCGGCCTCTCCAGGTCGAAGAGGCTGATGGTGGGGTCGCGGCCCAGGCAGCCGGTCACCAGGTGCCTCCCCCGGGCGTCCAGGTCCACGCAGGCCACCGTCTCCGGGTGCGAGAGCCGCGTCAGCTGCCGCCCCAGGACCGCGTCCCAGATGCGCGCCTTGCAGTCGCCCCCGCCGCTGGCCAGGATGCCGGCGTCCTCGCTCAGGGAGACGCTCCACACCTCCGCCTCGTGCTTCCGCAGGGCGCCGATCCAGTCGCCAGTGGCACCGTGGCGCAGCACCGCCAGTCCGTCGAGGCCGGCGGAGGCCAGGTAGCTCCCCGATCCGCGGTCCCTGCTGAAGGACAGCTCCACCACTGCGTCCGTGTGACCCTCGCACACCACGTCCGACATCTCGAATCTCGCTGCTTGAAGCGCTGCTAGGTACTTGTGGGGATCAGTTAATCGGGAAGAGCTTCCAGCTGGAATCTTATATTTCTAAATCGGAAAGCTCGGGGGCTACTAGATGAGACAGTGCTGAGTTTATTCTCGTTAGCTGCTTTTCTATCTGTCAATTGGCTTTCCTCCCTACAATTCAATGCTCTTTCAGCTTCCTGAATATCCACTAGGCAAAAAATCGGGAAAAATCCGAACATGATGCTACGACGGATAGAAACAGAGTGAAAGCGCTTTAATTTTCGTATGCTTAGTGGAAGGTTTTCAATATAAATTTTGGCACAGCTTATCGCAATAGGAATCTCTGCAAATACATATATTTTAAGAAGAAACAAGAACTATTACTAACTAAGCGACTGATATCGCAGAAGAGCAACTTCTGATCCAAAACCATTATGGTTAACAAGTTAACTTGTATATTTTGTGGTTTACAAAAATCCCATGAAAGTTACAGAATAGGTGTATTTTTCTTTAAAAATTTCAAAATAACACTGTCCGTTTTCTTATCTCTGTTCCAACAAATGCCAAAAAGCCTAAATTACATACCAAGCATAAATAAATGTTCTTACTAACGTAAATAAAATAGCATTGCAGAATAGTTTTATCAGCTTAAGAGAAAAAGATATCAGCAATGGCAAAATCGAATTATCACGTCTTTTTGGGGGCTTAGAAATTCTTAAATTGAAAGGCTTATCATTAATTCGATTAAGGATGCTTTATCGACACGACACAAAGTCTGCTGCTTAAGCCGAAAATCGAGTGGCCCAATAAAGCTTGCTCTTTGTGCCAGAAGCCAGCGGCTTCCTCCGCTCCTCCTTCGCCACTTTTAATTTAATAGAAAGCACACAACCCCAAGGACCTGGGCGGGATCCCGGTATCAGTCATCACTTGTTAATCTCACTTAAACGTTTCAGCGGATATTGTGTGGCCCGCGCACCCGAGCATTTTTCGGCAAACACGGAGGATGGCAAACTACTTGCAACTTTGTTGGCAGAGGAGCGCCAGGATATTAGCAAGGTGCCAAAGGCGGGGAGCACGAACGCGTAATGTATATTAAATGCACTCGAGGAGATTCAATTCATATTTCAGGACGTTTTGCTTTCATTATGCGGCGAACAAAGGGCGCCCGGCACGAGTCCTTCGCCTCGGGAGGATCCGTTTCACCTGCAGGACGACACCTGAGCATACACAAGCGGGCCGACACAATGCTGCTGCTCCTGGCACCTCTGACTTGGTACCTGGACCACTTGTGCGGGCACAGGACCAAAAACCAGGAGCAGGAGTCCCCGGCAACCGCAAGACTAACAGCACACGCCCGCAATTGCGTCGATTTCACTTTCACACAAAGTCGGAACAGCACTCCTTCCAAATCATTGCACTGAGGAAAAAGAGGCTCAGCAAAATAGTTGCGTTCAAAATAAAAATACAAAACAATCTTTTAAGGCGTGTTTATTTTCAATAACCCCCCACCTTTGGGCTCCGAATGCCATTGGTATATGATTGGAAAGTAAATCAGTAGTATTATTATTCTATGTGTAGCTTCTCGAGGAGGAACATTTGTCGCTGAGTTTTTGGGTTTAGGGGAAATTAAACGGATTTCCCCAAGAGCCTGACTTGACAATGTGTGATGTGGAGTTGCCTGAAGTCATTGTTGGAGCAGATGCTAATTAGATTTGGGCACAAAAGAAGCTCGCAAAGAAAACCGCACTTGAAGGAGACGTCGGATACTAAAAAGGTAAGTGTTGTATGTACTTTGTAGTTGAATCTTCAGAGGTTGGTAACCAGACAACTTTTGTTCCCATAACCCACTGTCCCGGATTTCCTGAACTGGCCCACAAACACACAAATCATTGAGCGATTTCCCTTTTCGATTTCGGTTCGAAAGAGCATTAATAATAATTAGTGCGCAGAGGAGTTTAAAGGAAGTGCAACTCATGTCCGTAATGGTCTCGTTCGGAAAGTGAGTGGCATCATCAGAATCGGGGCGTGGTCAGCGGGAAGTCGGACTTCATTTGTCAGTCAAGTCAGAGCGTTAGATAATGGTGCGAAGTCAGCGAAAAGCAGACTTACGAAATTATTTTTCTGCGAATTCGCGGCCATCAAAATATTTACTGGGCCCATAAAGTCGCGTACTTTACGACAATTCAACGGAAAGCATTTGCGCGTAATTGGTTATAATTTTTATAGGAACATCGGGACATTGGGAGCAGGAGCCTCAGCCTCAGCCTCAGCAAGGGGTAAGGACCACTGAGGGAAGGGGAGTGGCGGAAGGACACTCCCATCGATAATGCGAGCAGACAGCAATCTGTCCCGGACGCGGAGGCTCCTTTCGCATCCCGAGTCCGTCCTCTGCCAAAGTGTCAGGACAAATCAATAAACCTCTCATTTTATTGCGAACGTCTCAGATACCGATCTGTCACTTTCCATTGTCGCCCTGACAATTGATATCTCACACATCATTTGGCTCGAGTGCGCACAATGAGATTGTTTATGCCATTTTCGGGTAGTAGCAGAGTCTTGCGAATATTTCCCCGGCTCTGCGGACCTTCTCGCAGGGGTTCTTCTAGGTATCGGCTTTTCACCTTTCCCATTTCCCTCGCGGAGGCTGCTTTCTCCCGTCTAGGGGTTGGCTCAACTTGCGGTTTTCCCTGAGAAATGGACGTGATTTTTCCGCATTTTCTGCCGGCATTTTGTCCACTTAACGCCGCTCTGTGGTCAGAGTTCAAATATGGGACCATTGACTTATGACAGTTGTCCGCAAATGTTTGCATAATCCTGCGATCCGATCGGATCGGCTTTTCCGGGTCAATGTGCTGGAGAAAGCGGGCGGGGGACTCGGTGAAAGGTCCTTGGCCCACAATGGGGTTTATGACCTACTTAGCTTACTCATTTCGAATGAGATTATCTGAGGGATTATGTTCGATGACCAAGTGATATAGTTGCTGGAAATCATAATAGTAATAATTTAATTTATGCCTATAAATCACAACACATTGTTGTAAACTAGTTTTTTTCTCTAAACTCTTTTGTACATCTCTAGTTTCGCCTTTCGCTGCCAGCTTTCCCATATCTAAGGACCTTTCCCTTAAGTCCCTTGTAAGAATCGTGTAAACCCGAACTAAGTTATGCAAAAGCCACGCTCTACATCATGTTGAGAACTCGAGTGATCAATCCCGGCGGCTCCGAGTGCCTGTCACTTCTGCTGGCAGATCCTGGCGAGACAATGGAGAAAGCGAGTCCTGTACCAGTTCCCCGATTCGCGACGCCTGTCGCAGGAGGATGTTTCGCTTTCGCCGATCTGCAGATCAATCAAAGTTGGTCACGCTGTCGGGAATTATGTCACTCGCTCACTCAAATTGCAGGATTCGCAGGATTCGCAGGACGAGGATGACGAACTGACGGTTGAACTGATTTGCATACGAGCAGCGGAGAGTTTTCCTCGGCAGCTGCGGTTGGGTTTTCCCAGTCGTTTCCCCAAGGGGGTTGTCGGCAAACTTGGCTTGACAACGGTTGAAAGTTTTCCGCGTTTTTCCTCTTTTTTTCCCTTTTTTTTCATTCTGATGCTCTGTCATCGCATCAATCATGCACTTTATGTTTGCGTCTTTTAGGCAAACTATCCTTTGTAATTAAGTAAAGTCCGTTTAAACGGCTGCCAGGTTATTCGATACTTTTCGGGGCTTACCCTATCCTGCTATCCTGTTTTTCAATTCATATGGAAATCCGGCGGCTGAAAGTTAATACTCTGCGCCTGCGCAGATGTGGGAACTTCGGCAGGGAAAACTTTTAAATGAGACATTAGGTTTTGGACGAAAATCAGGCCAGTTCTCTGGATGTTCCCCCTGCCGTAAATCAATCAATTGTCAGGGCCCATAAACGATTTTATAATGGCCACCGATGGCCAGCTGGCCGAAAGTGATACAAAGTCATCGGACGGGCATGCCAAAATCGCACTTTATGGCCATATAAAATCGGGATCTGCTCACGAAAAAACAGATGTGCCACTGCCAAATTAAACCCAAGATTCGTGTAAGTCCACAAGTTATGGCTCACCCTCGAATCGGGCTTCCTGTGTGCCGCCGCTCCACTAATTGCTCGAAGGATGCGACATCGCCGGCACAGGAAGCGGAAACCAAAGTGGACGAGAAGAGGGAGGAATGAGGATTAGGGGGTGGGGGACACTTGGTCGTCTAACTAAGCGACTAGCCAGCGGCAGAAGTCATAACAGCAAACAAAACACACGCAATCTCCTTAAGCAAATTTAAATGACGCTTCTCCCCGGGTGCATTCATTAAAGTCTGCCCGATAATTAACGCCCTTATGTCCGGGAAGAAGTCCACGAATTCCTCTCTCGGGAGGAGGAAGGGACACTTCCACTGAGCCATTGTCCTGCCGAGGGCCATTGTGACTAATTGATTCGCCCAGACAAATGCCCGTCGCTTCCCTCGTCGGTTCCTCGCCTTAATTTTGTATGGAGTGCCATTGCTTGTCTGGCCAAAAGAATTTGAATTTGCGGCGGATAGTTAATAGGGCTCTAATGCCGACTTGAGCGGATTTCATTTGAGTGAGACAATGGGGCATTCGTCATGGGAAGGGTGCATTTCAGCATGAAATATTGCTCACACTTAAAAGACAATGGAGACTTTCAAATCAAATCTGAAAGGAAGCTTCATTAACATCATAGCATTGATAATAAAGCACATAGATACTCCACAGATTAGTTCTCGATTTCAGTTTCTAGTTTAATATTAAAGAAAATTCCCAGCCTTATTGCCAACTGAAAATGTTGTGTTCCGAATCCTCCCTGATTAGCAGCATCACAACATCTCCGATGCAAAGTTTTGCCAGATTTCAATAAAGTTTCCCTGCACAGATGAGTTTACCTGAGTCACCCTTTCGTTTCAGAATGACCATTTCCCTGTTTTCCTGATCTCGAAGGACCAGAAAAACCTCGCCCAGCGTCAGAGTTGTGGAAACAAAGGGGCTTGCAATCGGAAAACCCTTTTGTTTTCCCACATGACACATAAATAAATACGAGTATGTAGCTGCAACTGGTCAGCCTCGGCTCAGCTGCCCTGTTAATTGAATCATTAGGGTGGTGCAACCAGAGACAATGCCTCCATAATCATTATGAGTGATTGCAGGCAGGCCGAAAGACAAAGGTCTGTCCAGAGCGCATTTGAATAAGTCACCAGCTGGCCATTTCACTCGTGTAACTCCAGATGCGATTCTTGTAATCCGCTCAAGGGTTTCCCCTAGTCTGGAACCACTTGAGGAGCGGGTTTAGCCGATCCGCCAGTCGGGGAGGATGTGACTCGGGGATTTTTCGGACTGATGCACTCCAGTACCTCTCACGGGTCAATAACTTCCTTCCGAGTGCCTTGGTCTCATTTCCAAAAGGGCAGAAGCTCTAATATTTACTAGTCTGCCTCAAGAGCAAGCAAGTTGCCTCCCAGTTGCACATTAAAGTAGAGTCTACCCATCAAGCAAGATAACTGAAGTACTCTCCTTAAGTTCTGTCCAAGCTTCAATGCATTAAATTGGATAAAGTTAGTAGAAAGCAGGATCTTGGTTATGATGACGACTCCGCATTACCCAATGCTGCCACTTTCTTTCGGCTCGGGTTCACTCCTCCAGCGGCACAGCTGTCTTCCAAGCTCGGTTTCGCATCCCGGAGTCCCGGCCGCAGTGTCGGCTTACTGCGGGGATATCATGTCAACGCTTTGGCTGGCATTTAACTTGCCCTTGTCGCCGTGTTTCGCCCAGGCAGCAGCACTTAGGGCTTAAAACTTTAATTAAAAGGCGCAGGAACAGAAAAGGACGAGCACAGCTGGGTCCTTAGCATTTGATCTATGCGCTGACAGGACGGAGAACGGAGAGCGGAGAACGAAGGACTCGGCCTGGTTCCCAGTGCATTCCGTAATCGGATACTTTTATTGCTGAAAGGATAAACCGCAAACTGCTTGCACGGCCATCGCATAATACATTTTATGGGAGTTTACCCGCTGGCATAAGCAGCTTAAAGTCGCAGCGGCACCGAAACTTTACGACAGTTGTAACGATTCCTGCGCCTTTTTTCTCCACTTCACCACGGCTTCTTTTGTTTCAGGAAGTGTCGCCTTTGTTTGGGGCTGATCGCAAATAAAAATAATAAATATTCCCGGCTGGCCATAAAATTGATGGATTCGTTGCGCGGCGGGCTCAATAAAACGTTGCAGCGGAATGAAGCAATGAGAGGCGCTGCTGCGGAGTATCAGAAAGACATTAAAGCCGGGATCCCGATTCCCAGACAGGAAGTGCTCAGCACACCTCGAGACGGCGACTAAGCACGTTAAAGCGTTAACTGGGCATTATTCAAATGCCAATGCAGTAATGCCGCAGTAATGCTGTCCGCAGTAAGCACATTAAGCGGGATTATGTATGGGCAATAAACCGAGCCAAGACTTCCTTTACGGGTATGCAAAGTTCGCCCGATCCTCGCTGCACTCGGTGGTGGCACCAGGGGACTGGGAATGGGGGTCGCTGAATTCCCCGATTACACATCATCTGCTGTCAGTCGTTTTGCGAGACCCTTTGTCTTCCTCCCGGTTGAAGGGAATCCTACTATACACGTAAGTAGTTGCCGAAGGGGTTGCAACTGGCTGTTGTAATAAAATGTTTACAAATTTCTGCAAAATGATTTTGCATGTGCCAATTGAATGAGGAGGATTTCTCGTTTGATTTATCGCCCGCTGAGTTTGTCCCGAGTGGGAAAATTCAAGTAAACTCTGCTGATGGCTTGATCAAACCGAAGGACCAGAGGAGTGAGAGCATTTTCATATAATTTAATAAGAAAAATGTAACATGCAACCGAAAATATATTTAAAATTGGCAAAGTTCTAGGATCAAACTGACTGTTTGAAACTAAATTTAACTACAAACCATCAGTGGTAGGTCACTTTGGAATCGGAATAAATTGGCAAAAAAAAATGAAAAATCAAACCAATTCCAAAGGCAGCAAACTTTCCCAAGCACCTTCCTAATGTTGAACCCATTAATCTATGTTGAATGAAATTTGAATAGTCAAACCCCTGGGCGATAATGAAAAATGACTCGCAATTGAAAAACGACGCCAATGGAGATCCATATGCAAATTTACCAGGAGACAAACGGCTACAAAAAAGAGCTGAGAAATGTGTCTCTCGATATTCGCGCATTAATTACAAACGCAATATTTACAAAACAAATGTGTCGCTTTGTGTCCTCCAGTCCTCCTAAAAAGGCAAAGGCAAAGGGGAGGGCAAAGGGGGAGGGAAGGGTAGGGAGTGATTCAGCTGCCCGCTGTCAACCCCTTGGAGTGACAAAAATTACAAAGATTACAACTTAATTTCGACTTTCAGCCCTTTGGGTTGAGTGCCGGCCGGCATTTACATACATAAATCTCGGATCTCCGCCTCTTCGGCGCTGCAAAAGACACTCGAAATAGTTGAAAATATTTTGTCGGGCCCTCCATTGTTGGGAACCCCTTCTCGAGATCCAGGTAAGTCGGCATTTGCATTTCCTGACAGCTCCGATTCGTCCTTTCACACCTTTAAGACTCGAGTTTAAGCCTGCAGATCTCACACTCCGCTGCACTTCTAAATGCTTTGATTGCGTTCGGTGGGACTCTTCGGTGGGGCAGGAGGGCTGTACTCCGCCCAGATACCAATTAGCAGCTGCACTCACCTGTGGCCAACTGTCCACGCCCTCGTACCTGCAACAATGCCACCGCCGCAGGGCCAAATCAAAATTGCAGCCAGCACTTCCTTCGGGGTTTCCATGGTCTGAGTTCCTTCCCCCGACTTTCACACGTTATTCAGTGAGCATAAAGCGGCGCGTATTTAGGCCAGAAAAAGAAAATAGGGGAAGACCAGCAGCAACTGCAACTGCAACAGCAACTGCAATCCACTTGACCAACTCGCTGGATGCCAAAAGCCAAGTCGCCGAAGCGTTGGATTTGTAACGTATTTTCCATTTGGGAAAAGGCAGAGGGGACACTTCTTTAATTGTTGCGACTGTTAATATTTACGCCGGGTCTTCTTCTCGGTTTTCTTCTTTAACTCGTAGATGGTGGCTGTGCGATAGTGCACATTTTCCCAGACAATTAAAGTAAGGGAAAAGTCGTCGTTTAGTGGCAATAGAGCTGAGATGTTGATCGCCATAAAAGATATATTTTGTCTTTAGTAAGCTGTCCGGGGTTAGTTAAGGAAGCAATTCTTGTATCTGAAAGGAAGCCAAAAATTAAGGAAACGATAGCGGATGTTCGCCATCTGAGAGAGAAAGGAAAGAAATGCAACCAACGTAGCATGTTAAGGATGGTATTCTCATTGGTCTAATAACAACTTACACTAAAGGAGCACCAAATCGTTATCTGAAACATCGAATCTGAAATGTTTGACATTGGCCATTTGCTGAATTCGGGAATCGGCATAGCTGTTCTGTGCGCCGTTGACAGCGCGAAAATTAATAGTGCCAGCTACTTTTTACCGAGTTTTCATATTCAAATTACATTCCAAATTGATTAATGGGCCAAAATTTGCATAGGGATGAAGCGGCGCCATATGCGATGAGGCTTAATTAGGGAAGGTAGCAATGCTTTTCATTTTTCCCCGAGTGAACGTATCTCTTTAAAGGCACGCGATGCAGGATATTCGGCGGACAGATGGGCAGCAGGACACCCCCGCTCTGCGCAGGATCAGTATGCTAATTTGTCCAGGAGTTTAGTTTTACCACGCGACAAGGCCTTAAACACACCGCACGCGATAAAGTCCGCGGCCAGTTTTCGTTCCTATCGAGATCGAACTAAAATTAGAGCCCCGAAAAGGGGAAATTCCGAAAACGGGAGCAGTTTTTCGCGCAGCTGTAGGCGTAAATTAAAATGCATTTTACGCAACTGTGCCACGGGATCCGGGCTCAGATCCTGCAGCTGTTGCCCCTCGAATTTTCCTAATGGCACGCTCTCAACACTTGAAAAGGACACCCCCGCCGCACTGAAGACTGGAATGGCTCTGTTTTTCGTGGAAATTTACGCATTTTCATGCTCGACTACCGTTGCACAGAACGAAGGACCCCGGCCGAAAATAGATTAGCCGCTCTCAAAGGATATTGAACCCGGCAGGGACGGAGGGACGTAGGGACTCTCAAGGACTCGCTGCCGGTCAGGGAGATGGTTAGACAACCGGAGCGCGTGCCACGATCTAAATTTCGGCCCAGGATAATTGCCTCAAGTGCCGACAGATTGACGACTGGTAAATTCCGATGCAGGATATACATAATTCAATTTACGGCTGACGGGTTTGAATTTGAAAGATACGATTTTAAGCTATCCTTTTGCTTTTAAAACAGAACCTTGCTCTCAACCGTTTGACCGATCTTATCCAACAATACCCGATTTTATGAAGATTGCTTTGCCCAGTCCGTGTGGCTTGATGGGCTGCTAAGTATTCGTGGGGATAATGGTACCAGCTGGGAACTTATATTTCTGAAGTCGGAATGAAGCTACTTGATGTGGCAGTATTAAGTTTATTCTCGTCAAGTCCTATTCTGTTTCTGCCTGTTTTCCTCCCTACAATTTGGTGTACCCCGCCAGCTTGTTGAGTATCCACGGCACGTAGGTGGGCACGTCCATGTAGTAGGCTCCAAGGCCAGCTCCGCAATCCTGGTGCCCAAGGCTGACCACTCCGAACTGGACGAACCGCAAGGAGCCAAGGTATTCGACCGACTGGGTGAGCGGTCCGCCCGAGTCGCCTGGGCAGGTGTCCACGCAGTTTCCGTCGGCGCAGAGGAAGCTCTCGTCCCTGCCGCCGAGGCACTCCTTCGTGTTTATGGAGACCTGCATGGTGCTGTTGGCGAAGTACCCTTCCCTGTCCGACCCCCAGCCCACCGCCCAGTAGGCATTCCCGATGGTCGAGGTGTACCCAAGCAGCTCGTCGGAGAGGGGCAGACAGATTGGCTGAATGTGCTCTGAAGGAAGGCGGTTACTCCGGGCCTTGGAAACAATGTTACAAGCAGTTACCTTTAAAGAGCGCTGGGCGGTTCAGTCTGATCAGGGCGATGTCGTTCCAGCCGGAGGAGTGATCGAAGTACTCGTGGACAATCCACTCCTTTATGCCGAACTCCTCCGCGGGTGGAGCGCACACGCTTGAGTCCCCGTCGCAGTCGACATCGGAGTTCAGGTCCAGCTCTCCCAGTCGCACTCTCAAACTGCTCGACAAAGGGGATTAGAAACCTATATGTCGAGGAACATGCCTAGAAAGCCTTACTCATTTTTCCGGGCACACAATACGTTGCAGTGGGCAGCAGTCAGAACGAAGCCTGCGCAAAGTGGGAGTTTGGATGGGAGGGGTTTTTTCCAAATATTCATTGCTTACGCGGTGAGATAAGGGAGCCTCCGCAGCGACAACTCTCGGTATCATCTGGCAAATAGATGAATGCCATCCAGGGCTGGGACATAAGTAAGGACTTTCTGCCACCGGTGATCCTTCGGAAGAGCCTTGGTTGGGGCATCAGCAGCGAACGAACTCCGCAATGCTGTTGCTTTAGTTTTTTGCTCACCCCGTGATGTACGAGCTTCCAAATTTCCGGACATGCTTCAATCTGCGAAATCGAAAAGATTGTACAAACTAGGCACAAAATCGGGAAAAAACTGATCATGATGCTAGGTCGGATAGGAATAGACTGAATGTCTTAAATATATATTTTGGCACAGCTTGTCGCAATGGTAATCACTGCAAATACATATATCAAATTTCACATATTTCAGGAAGAAACAAAAAACATTAATTATCAACTAAACAGCTGATAACACGTAAGAGCTACTTTCGATCAGAAAAAAAAAATGAATCATCAAATTAACTTGCAAGCAAGTGGGCTTCTTTTCCTATTTCAAATTACCACTGGATGTTTTCTTATATCTGTTCACCTTAGATGCCAACAAGTCTTAAATAATAATAATAATTAGAGCGCCGAGGAGTTTAAAGGAAGTGGAACTCAGGTCGGTAATGGTCTCTTTCGGATCGGAAAGTGAGTGGCATCAGCAGAATTTTTTCAAGTTTCCCGATGTTGTGCCAATAGGAACCCCAATTCTCGAGGCCCTCAACCTATAACTTTGGCAATTTTAATCCGATTCCAAAGTGGCATGCATACCTTTAAATGTTTGTAATCGCATCCTTTATGCAGCTACGCTCAAGATTTGCCATTTTCTGATGGTAGAAATTTTGTCAGATTTTTTCAAGATTTCCGTTAATTTAAATAAGAGACCCAAATACGAACTTCCCGATCCATACCTCCGCCAATTCTAATCCGATTTCAAAGTGCTATGCCTCTAAGCATTTTTGATTGAATTCTAAAACAAACTGCGTTAAAATTTTTAATTTGTTTGTAAATTGATTTTCTGCCGTAATGGCCGATCGTTAGCTGGCAATCCGTTACTCTTTATATATAGTGGATTATTGCTGATGCTGATCTCTAGTTGATGTTGCTGCACAGATTAGTTTAAAAATACCGGGTTACTTGTTGTATTTAGCAACACTTATTTTAATGAAACGCTGCCAGATCATCAAAAAAAGAATGTCGGTTGAAGTCTCTGCTATCTTAGCCAGGGCACTAAGCCGCTGGTTTTGAATATTTATTTTTCTCGGCCAAGATTAAATCCGCTGGCTGGCCTTTGTTGCCGATGGAGGAGGGATTTATACATTTAAGTTACGTAATCTGTTTTCCCACCGCCACTAATTTCTGAGAATAGACCTTTGGTCAACAATTATCGTTTTCTACTGGGTATATAGATTCGATAGTATCGAACAATCATCGATTTTTGGTACATCTCTATTTCATTTGCATTTGCCAATTCTACCTTGCCGCGGTCACACTTTTGCGAATTCATACCAAACCCGATCGTGCGTGCTCTGTGTTTTTGCTATTGCGTTGAGTGAAATTTCGCCGCAATCAGGACCTCGCTGTCCTGGAAACCAAGTGAACACATCGGACAATTGCCGTCAGTACGCTCTCGCGTGTTGTGAGTCCAGCCGTGTGCGTGTGTCGCCTTGCAGCAGTGTGCGTGTGTGCACGACCGAGAGGGAGAGAGCGGTGCAGCCGCATCTGGGAAACTCGATTGCCAATATTTCATCGAGGAGGCAATGTCGTCGAGCGGTCAACAATTGATGGCCGATTCGCCAGCCTGCAGCTCCACCGACCACTCGCCGCTGGCCAAAAAGAGGCGATTGGAGCCGCTTGGCGAGGGAGAGGGAGTTGTAGAAGCCGGTGGAGCAACGAGCAGTAGCGGCGGCAAAAAAAAAAGCAGCAGGCGGCGTGGATGTGTTAAACATGTGTCAGAACGAGACGACTAGTGAGCGCCAGCTGGAATTGTGCGTATCGTCGTCCACCTCTGACACGTGCGGTGTTAACGCGTTGGCGAAGCGAGCCGACAAGCAGAGTCAGCAGCAGCAGAAGCAGGGAAGCGACGACGTTAGTACTTCGTCAGCAGTGGAAAAGGAAGGAAGCAAGCGCCCAGAGAAGCGCAATTACTTGGACACCACCACCTCAGAATCGCAAGAAGCATCCTCCAGCGGTCAAAACAACAGCAGCGACAAAGTCAGCTCCAGCAACAATAACAACAATAGCAGCAGCAACAACAACACTAGTGGCAATCGGCACCTGGAAGGAAGCAGCAGCATGGCTGGAAATAGTGCCGCCGCGGGCGGAGATATCGATGAATCGCTGTACTCGCGCCAGTTATACGTCCTGGGCCATGACGCTATGCGCCGGATGGCCAACTCCGACATTCTCCTGTCGGGACTTGGAGGACTCGGACTGGAAATCGCCAAGAATGTGATTCTGGGCGGTGTGAAATCGATCACCCTGCATGACACAGCAACTTGTGGGGTATGTGTGTGAGGCGAAGAAAAAAATCGATAATTTTCCAGGCTGACGCGGGAAATGCTAGGGAAGGCGGTCTTGGCAGCCCTGGTTTATGTGATTCATTTAGAGTTTTTCCTCGCCTAAATTTTAGACTCGGCGCGAAATAAGGTTAGGTTATCTCTATTTGCTTGCAAAAAAGTGTTGTGTGTGTAATTCGGTTTTCCTTCTTTTTCTATTTGCCTCAAAATGTCTGCGCCAAGCTGAAAGTGTGCGTGCGAGCGGGACGACGGTATAAGCATAGCGGGACTGCAATTGTTTTTGCATTCTCTTTTGTTCGGCTTATCCGCTATTGTTTTATGCACTGTAAAAAAACGTTTGTCAATTAGTCGGTTCTTAAATCTCTTTATTTGTTGGCAAAATATTAACTAAGTTCGTTTACATCATCAGTTTATAAACCCAGTAGTTCCGGAAATCCGCAATTTTTTTTGTGCATTTAATCACGCAACAAATAGTCGTTTGTTAGTCATAGTCTCTTGCTCAACTCCTCCTCTCTAATTTCACCACATTTCACAATATGAACTAATTAAGCCTTTTTGGTCTTGCAGCTCCAGGACTTGTCATCGCAGTTCTATCTTACGGAGGCCGATATTGGCAAAAACCGGGCGGAGGCCTCCTGCGCTCAGTTGGCCGAGCTGAACAGCTATGTGCGCACCTTGTCGCACACGGGACCGCTTACCGAAGAGTTCCTGCTCAAGTTTCGCGTGGTGGTGCTCACCAACTCGGATGCGGAGGAGCAGCAGCGGATCGGCCAGTTTGCCCACGAGAACGGGATTGCCTTGATCATCGCCGAGACGCGCGGACTGTTTGCCAAGGTGTTCTGCGACTTTGGCGAGAACTTTACCATTTACGACCAGGATGGAACCCAACCGGTGTCCACCATGATTGCCAGCATCACGCATGATGCCCAGGGAGTGGTCACCTGCTTGGATGAGACGCGACACGGCTTCAACGATGGTGACTTCGTTACCTTCTCGGAGGTGCAGGGCATGCAAGAGCTCAACGGCTGCCAGCCTCTCAAAATCACCGTGTTGGGACCCTACACTTTTAGCATTGGCGACACTAGCCAATTTGGCGAGTACAAAAGCGGCGGGGTGGCCACCCAAGTAAAGATGCCCAAGACCATCAGCTTCAAGTCCCTTGCGCAGGCCAACGATGAGCCCGAGTTCCTGATCTCCGATTTTGCCAAGCTGGACCACCCAGCTACGTTGCACGTGGCCTTCAACGCACTGTCCTGCTACCGCAAGGCTCACAGCGGAGCCCTGCCGCGACCCTGGAACGAAGAGGACGCCAACAGCTTCCTGGAGGTGTGTCGGGCCAGCAGCAGCTCGGAAGTAGACGAGAAGCTGGTGCTGCAGTTCGCCAAGATCTGCTCGGGCAACACGTGCCCGCTGGACGCGGCGGTTGGTGGAATTGTGGCCCAAGAAGTGCTTAAGGCTTGCAGCGGCAAGTTCACTCCGATTTTCCAGTGGCTGTACTTTGACGCCCTGGAGTGTCTGCCCACGGAGGGCGTGGCGGAGGCCGATGCCCAGCCCGTCGGCTCGCGCTACGATTCTCAGATCGCCATTTTCGGCAAGAAGTTCCAGGAGAAGCTAGCCGATTCCAAGTGGTTTATTGTCGGAGCAGGAGCAATCGGTTGTGAACTGCTGAAGAACTTTGGGATGCTGGGCTTGGGTGCCGGCAAGGGCCAGATCTTCGTCACCGACATGGATCTCATCGAGAAGTCGAATCTGAACCGGCAGTTCCTTTTCCGGCCGCATGACGTACAGAAGCCGAAATCCATGACGGCGGCCGCCGCCATCAAACGCATGAATCCGGAAGTGAATGTCACCGCCTACGAGCTGCGTGTTGGCCCCGAGACGGAGAAGGTCTTCTCCGAGGACTTCTTTGGCAAGCTGGACGGCGTTGCCAATGCGTTGGATAACGTGGATGCCCGTATCTACATGGACCGCAAGTGCATCTTCAACCGTATCCCTCTGGTCGAGACCGGAACGCTCGGAACCTTGGGCAACGTCCAGGTGATCGTTCCGTTCCGCACCGAGTCGTACAGCTCCTCGCAGGATCCGCCCGAGAAGAGCATTCCTATCTGCACGCTAAAGAACTTCCCCAATGCCATAGAGCACACTTTGCAGTGGGCGCGCGACGCCTTCGAGGGCGTCTTCAAACAGTCCGCTGAAAACGCTGCTCAGTACATCGCTGATCCGCAATTCACCGAGCGAATTGCCAAGCTGCCCGGTATTCAGCCCTTGGAGATCCTCGATTCTATTAAGGTGAGGGTTTGATTTCGTTACGGTTTAGTGCTTGACTAACTCCTTTTTGCTGTAACTTTCAGAAAGCTCTGATCGACGACAAGCCCAAGAGCTTTGCTCACTGCGTGGAATGGGCCCGCCTCTACTGGGAGGATCAGTACGTTAACCAGATAAAGCAGCTGCTTTTCAACTTCCCACCCGATCAGATCACCTCTAGTGGTCAGCCGTTTTGGTCCGGTCCCAAGCGCTGTCCTGATCCACTTGTCTTTGACGTCAACGATCCAATGCACTTGGACTTTATCTACGCGGGGGCCAATCTGCGAGCACAGGTCTATGGCATTGAACAGGTACGCAATCGCGAGACGATTGCAGAGCTGGTGCAAAAGGTTAAGGTTAGTTTCTCGAACAAAGCCGGTCGAAGGCAGTCGCTGATTCTTTTTGTCGCAGGTGCCAGAGTTCAAACCACGTTCGGGAGTGAAAATCGAAACCAACGAGGCAGCGCCGCCGCCGCCTCAGCTAACAACTTCGATGATGGTGAGCTGGATCAGGATCGCATGGACAAAATCATTAATGAGCTGCTGAAGAACGCCGACAAGAGCTCCGTGATCATGCCGCTTGAATTTGAGAAGGACGACGACAGCAACTTACACATGGACTTTATTGTGGCCTGCTCGAACCTGCGCGCTGCGAACTACAAGATCCCTCCAGCCGATCGCCACAAGTCCAAGCTGATTGCCGGTAAGATCATACCAGCCATCGCCACCACCACGTCGGTGCTTTCTGGCCTGGCTGTGCTCGAGGTGATCAAGCTGATTGTGGGCCACCAGGAGCTCGAAAAGTTCAAGAACGGATTCGCCAACCTGGCGCTACCCTTTTTGGCGTTTTCCGAGCCGCTGGCCGCTGCCAAGAACACCTACTACGGCAAGGAGTGGACGCTGTGGGACCGCTTTGAGGTGACCGGCGAGCTGTCGCTGCAAGAGTTCCTCAACTACTTCGAGGAGAAAGAGAAGCTGAAGATCACGATGCTGTCGCAGGGCGTCTCCATGCTGTACTCCTTCTTCATGCCCAAGGCCAAGTGCTCCGAGCGGCTGCCGCTACCCATGTCGGAGGTTGTGCGACGCGTCTCCAAACGCCGCCTGGAATCGCACGAGCGGTCGTTGGTCTTTGAGATCTGCTGCAATGACGTCGACGGCGAGGACGTGGAAGTGCCCTACGTCCGCTACACGCTGCCCTAAGCCCATACATATTCCTAGTTTACCCATTAAATTATTTTACTAACCCGTTTTGTTGGCGCCGCGATTCTAGCTGTTTGCATTTTAAATTATAGAACACCACTACGGGCAGCCCAGATCTAGAAATTATATATATTATGTGTGTATCCTCTAAGGAATGGCAAATGAATTCGCAACGTACGAAATACAAAGACTCGACTTAAAGCAAAACCTAACTGCATACGAAGAAACTCTCTGCTCAGCATAGTTGTAAAAGAACCGAATTATTGGAGATGTAAAGCGGACGGTCTTTAATGCCATTGCGTAATTGGAAACTGGAATCTGATTGAGCCAGCTGGCAAATTTCACACTTCTCATATATTTTTTTTATATGAAAGCATAAACTAATTACGTCATTGTATTAAAAAAGAGTAAAGCAAATGAATAAAGCTGTATATTTCATATGGTAATCGCCCGCGAGATGACTCAGATAATTTCGTTCTGCACTTGACGTTAGTAATCGCATTTCCCCCGCCAGTTCAGAAATTAAAATTGTAATGCATACTGCTCAACTGCAGGAGAAGTATATAAGGGATGCCATCTATCCGTACGCCAGTCAGTTGGAAGAAAGTTACGTGACACAATTAAATATTTTATGCCCTCTCAAGACGTTTATGCCACCCCCAAGGAGGCGGCTGCCACCGAAGTGCAATTGGCAAGTGCCGTAAAGTTGCACTGCTCCCGAAAGCTGTGGGCGGGCAGAGGGCGGCGTCTTATAATTAAATATTACACGCAATGCAACTGAAGTATGGCCAAACTTATGCAGTTTCGCCTTTCAGTTTTGGCCTTTTGCGGCTTTCCGGGGAACTTGCTTGAATAATGCAGTTAATGAAACAAACAGGCGGAGTGTGTGAGCTGGGTTGCGGATGTGGCCGAAACGGATACAAGCGGAATCCCCGTGGATCCCAAAAACGGCTTTCTATTTGCCAAACAAGAATGTTTTCGGCAGGCTAATCAAAGTTTGTGGGCGACGTCCGTTTTCTTTATCGTGTCTTTAAAAACGAAGTTCAGCATGTATTAAAGTTGTGTGACAAAGGAGTACTTAGGGGTATTTAGGTTATGCTAAAATAATGTCACAATAATTTCTAGCAAAAAAACCGTTATTATTTCAGATTTTGCAATTCCATTGTATGAATTTTACGTATGAATGTACACATCCAAAGTGCTTTCTTTGTGGTGACCGTCGTTTTCTGCGTAATTCGTGGGGATGAGCCCATAGATTTAAATCTCTGCGTTTTTACGTAAACGTTTGAATAGTATGCGTCAGCTTTTTATCCAATGATCACCGGACAAGCGCCAGAGGGTATTGACTCATGGGAAAAGAGGACCGCTGGAGCGTTTGTTCTTTTTGGGGAATCTCTCATCCGTGGTGCCGCTTTCAGGTGTAAAAAAAATATGCGAGTATTGTAGTCGTAAATTTGGATTCGAACTTCAGGCTTAACTCAAATGCTGATCGAGCTAATGTTCACCAGTTGTATTTCTCGATGTTGGGATCCCAGGCAAGGGCACAAAAACTTCTCTCAGCGCCAGTCGCAAATTAAAATCTTTTGTTTTATGCCTCGCAATCTGTTGCTAATATACGAAGTATGCGGGCCGCCCATTTTTCAGATTTTTTGGTTGATGTCTCGTTGTTTTTCATGCAAATCGGATATGGAAATAAAATGTGTGGCGTTCTCTATATTAATTGTTTGTTTTCTCTTGCAATTGATTGAGCGAATTCAATAAATCGCCAGTTGGCCGTGTGACACTTTCCGTGCGATAATGAGCCAAACTCCGCCGAATGTGATTAATGGACCTGTTAAATGGAAATGCTGGGTGGCGTTTCTCAGATGGACACATCAAGGCGAGACGAGAGCAACGCACGAGTCCAGGGAAAGCACAGAGCCGAGTGCACTGGATGCATATTTTAATTAATTACTCGGATACAGATACATCTGCCTGTGGGCGGGGAAGGTCAATTGGGCTGGCATTTCCTGCCCATTTGGCTATATGTCGCATTTGGGTGTGCGTCACGTTGAGAAAGTTTGGGGCTGTGTAAAACACAATTAGTAATTGCTTTGATTTCCTGCCTGCGGAGGAACGTGTTCGATATCGCACGCTTGGGAAATGGTAGTATGTAAATCGCATGTCCGACCAGTGGGTCGCTTCCATTTTAGACCAGTTGAACATAGACTCAAATTGAGTCATCGCACAGTGGGAAGTGCGATCTCCTAGCCACACTTTTCTGAGTACACTGAGGAAAAGATATTATCCACTGCTCATCGAGTAACTTCGCCTTTTGGAAATTTATTTTTCTGTTGCCTGGTAATTATAATTGTATGTTAAATGTTAGTAAGCATAATATTTTTTATTTTTGCATGCATTTTGTCAAATTATTATTTGCAATTACAGCCGCCGAGCAATGTAAGGTAATTTTTGAATTTGGTTTGAAATATTCGAGTGTAAGTCGCATATAAATAAATAAGTTTCACCATATCTGTCAGACGTCCGTGCCACCACCCACTCAAATAATGCAATATTGTGCGAGCAGAGGCGACAGGCGGTCGCAGCGAAGATACCCGTATCCGTATTCGCATCCGTAACCCGTAGTCGTACATTACCAGACAACACTTCTCCATAATTGATTTGTCACGAGCTTGTCCCCGGCCATCCGAAATTGAGGACTGCTTGGATGCTCCCGACCAAAGCCACATAGTTGCATGGAAAGCAAAGGCTAACGCTGCAGATAGGCTTATCAGCGGAGAAAAGGCAATAAACAAGATAATGCCCCACTGAGTCAGTGACATAAAAGTTACTAACCTTTCGCATTATCAGCGGCCTTTCCATCCGCAGGAAATGGTCGATAAACAATTCTTCGATCCTGACCATGGAAACTCAAGAAAAGTTATATTCACGGATAACTCCCTGAAAGTGGCGTAAGTCCCATTGAGTAACTAGCATAAGTCGCAAGAACTGATATGAACACTGACTGCATACCCAAGTTTCCAAAATATTACGCATCTTTGAGGGCCCGACCATGTGTCATGTATGTTGGGTTTGTCATTTGTACTTTATCTGGGTCAACTGCAAAGCAAAAGGGGGTTTTGCATTCAATTCGTGTCCAATTAGCGATTGAACTCAAGACCTCAGTCTAGGTTCAGAAATTGCCGGCAAAATGTTTCGGGTATCTGTGGCTACAGCACAGAACGATACCATAAGATCACAGATTGTCTATTTTTACCAATATGCAAAAATTCGTACTTAGGGAATATCTAAGAAATATTTTTGACCAAAAAAAAATATCTGCGATACTTCTAATAATATTTTCATGATTTGTACTTTTCATTTGGCACATTTTTTTACCTATGTATGTATGTACATACAAAAATTAGGTTTGTTCATTTTTCCTTATAGTAATTAATACGCATGTTCGCTTGCTCTTGATTTTAGATTAGTAATGATTAAGAAATAATAAATTGAATTTAAACGGATATTGATCATGAAGGTTATAGAAAAAATGAACATACATGTTATCATTTATAATTGTTTCTAAGAACTTGTCAGTTTATTCTTGGTAGTGACAAGCAGTTGGGACCTAAAAAAGGTGTATGACATTCATGACTACCACGGTGAGCAATCGGGTAATGGCCAATATTCGTGCGTAAAATGATTGGCCGGCCATTCCGAAAAAAATACCGGATTTATCAATGAACCACTAAAAAATGTGATAACAATTGAGACAGTAAAACCCCCAATACCGTATCTTGACAACAACATAAAAGTCATTGATAAAAGTCTGAGTTTATCTCGGTCCCCAATATGCACTATCTTTTTCGCAGACGTTTTTATTTATCATTTGCCTTGAATTTATTGGGCAATCCCGGCGATCTTTTTATAAATGTGTTAGTATTGACAGTTCTTTAAGTGACCTAGAACACAATAGCCGGAAAACATATCTACATAAATAAAGAAGAGAAGACACCACCTTGCATCATTAGGCGCTCTTAAAAACTCTTAAGAGTAACCAGTACCTTTGCACTTTAGAAGAGATTTAAATTTTTTCGTTCGGCTTAAAAAAGTTAAATAGGTATAATAGGAAAAAATTAAAAAAAAATTTAAACAGGTATATGATACAAATGGAAAATTCGTCTTTATTTTTAACAAGATCAACCCACAAAGTCTATCTTTTTTTAGGGCAGCTTAAGAGAGGGGAAGATTAAAACTTCGCGATTTTAATGTTGGGGCTGATCCTTAATGGGCAACGGCTCCACCTCCCTCCGATCGCGCTCTCTTTGGGCTCTCTTTATTAAACGCGCGGGCTGTGTGCTCTTTGTTTCGATGGCAAGTCGCATTGGAGCGCCGAAAGTCAACTCATTTCCAGTCAAACAGCCGCGCGAAGCGGTGTATCCGCCGCTGTTCTCCAATCGGCGGTGTAACGAGACTTTTCAGTTCGAACAAAACAGAAACAAGTACATAAGTGCAAAAAACGAAATCAACGAGATTTATGCTCAAACGAAACTTGCGAATAAAGAGAGTGCCGCCCATTTCTTTTCTTTTCTTTTGTGGGGCGAACAAAGCCACCTAACGGTCAACGGGCAACGGGAATCGGTATCGGAAATATACTAAAAAACGGGAGAACAAGGAAGCCTTCTTCTTTGTGCAGGCACTGCGTGCTAATCATTTGTGTTCCTGTAGCCCAGTGGTTAATGTGCATTCGATATTGGATTTGAACTTAAATTAAATCCAGCCCAGCCCATTTCAGCACCCCCTGCTCCTGTTTCCCACCATTCGTATGCGTCATATGTAAAAGAGCGGAAAAGGGGCGAAAAGGAGAGAGAGCCAACGAAAGAAGCAGTAGCCACAACAAAAGCAACAACCATCACACAACACAGAACAAGAAGCGGAAAACTGAGCCACGACACCCCCGCCCGCTCCTTCCGTTGTTTTTGTTGCTGCTGCAGCTGTTTATTTGCTGCCGGCTACTTGTGAGTGTGTGTGTGTCGCCACTGCGCATGAGTGTGTGTGTCAACCCCCGCGGTCAAAAAAAAAAAAAAAATAAAATAAAAGTGAAAAGTTCAGTTCCTCATTACATTAGGAATTGTTTACTTATTACATCAATTATTAAGCTTCCAAAAGAAAGCAAAGATAAATAGTTATTGAAGTGATCATAGTAAAGTGCCAAGTTGTTGTGTTCATTTTCACGCGAAAGAAAGTCGGCACAAAAGGCTACAAAATGTGCTCCACACGTGTCGCCTCCGTCCTGCTCGCACTCGTTGCCCAGACATTTTGCCTTCAGGACCTGTTCCTCCCCCAGCGGAGTTTCCCGCCCACTTCTGAACAGCTGGACATGCAAGCGATCAAGCCCGGAAAAACGAAGAACGCCGTTTCCGAGGATGTTATGGTGAGTTGTCAAGACCTTCGACCGAAACTTTTCAAATAAACCCTATTGTAAGGCGGGTGAAAAATACTTTCCCATGCATCTATGAATTATTCACCTAAACAAAACACAAATATAGTTAACCCATGCTTTGCTGGTGATGAATAATTGAACAGTGTTTGACACAATTGCCCATTTAAATAAAAGGGCCTTATTGATTAATATTTTAACACTTGAGGAATATAGTCGTTGAATGCTTGCAATAAAAATTATGTACAGCAATTACTGCTTCTGCGACATAAATATTGAAGCATAATAAATTTGACAACTAAAACTTCACTTTACTGCATTCACTAAGGGGAAAGGAAAGGGCGAGAGGGTCAGTGGCAAACGTCTGAGAATAAAATCTCCATACGAAAGGAGCCAACTCAATGCAGATGCAGTAGGTAGTTCCAGATACTCAATCCGAATCCGTACATACGGGAGCAGAGAGTAAACCGAGGGGCGGGGATGTTTCATCGAGATAAGGCTGATCCGAAGGCCCCCGACCACCACCTCCTCATTCCTTGCCTGCTCATGCTGCTCATGGCCCCAAATCCCAAAATGGTCTACATATGCATACACAGTGTGAGACATAAATTCAAAATGTGTATATCTTGTTAGAGAGTTAACAAAAGATACATAACATGAAGAACACTATAATGATATCATTTGATTATGTTCCATATTCAACTTTAAGAATAGTTCCATTTTATTCAATAAGGTTTATTTCAGGTCAAAATACTTCAAGGTGGTAAGCATTCAAGTAATGCTAGTACCGTGTATTTCTCTTTTCGAAACGCACTGTACGTGTGTGCACTCAGCCGCCGCGAGACGGGGGCCACCAGATGAGTAGTCTCGGTTTGGCCACTGCAGTTCGTAGTGCACAATGCATGCTTATTGTTTGGCACCATGCATCCCGTGGCTCTTAATGCATTTGCGGGTCTGGCCCCCGCTCCGGTGCACCGAACCCCCTTCGTCGCCGCCCATGTGGAGCCCTCGCCACTAGGACATTTGCTGGCGGATTGCTGCACTTAATGAGCGCGGGCGCCTTTTTAATCAGAATAACAAAATATGAGCAATTTACCCATTATGCCTGCCTTTTGCTTTTGTTTTTTTGTGTGCCAAGCAGTTGTGGTGGCATTCTTAAAGGCGCGCCAGGACATTGAACCCGATCCGCTGACTCAGCAGCTCCAGACACGCGAGGCGACCAGGATGAACTATTTACGTACTATGTCCGTCTGCCGTCCAGCCAGCCATTCAGGCGGTTTTGCTCATTTGGCTGGGCCGAATATATTATATTCGAATTTGAACAAATATAAGCCCAGTTTCATAGCTACAAGCCTATTGGTTATATTCTCTATCAGAGATATTCTTCAACTTGCGAACGATATGCGGAATTTCCTAAGTCCCTTGCATTTATTTTACTTAAGCTTTGATATCGTGTCAATGTTTTTTTATTTGCTGGCTGCTTTCAATGTAAAAGATAATAGAAAATAAATGGATATAAAATTCTTTTAAAATTAAATTAAATTAAGGGTCTGTAGATGCTCCCTAAGATGGCACATTTCATCCCTGAAACAGGTTATAGGATGAGGTCTTTAAGGGCCCGCATGTTGGTTATTGGGTAAGGATATCGAATGCGATGGATGTCGCCGCTCTCCAGCTGCCCGTGGAATGAGCGAAGCGAACATATGCTATATAGAGATAGGTCTGTGAATATGTGGCGCACTATATATAGCGGCGATATGAGCGGAACCGAAAAGAAAAGAACTGAATCAGTTGAGTTGAGTTTGGCTGGGTTGAGTTCGGCTGAGTGTCGCCAGCTAGGCGATGCCATTAAGGCGGTTCAACAAACGCACCCCTCCCCCTCACACACACTCTCCGAATTGTTCGCATACACTCACGCAATCGCGCTTATGAGTGGCGTGTAATCAAATAAATGATGAAAATGGAGCCAAGACGAAGCGCAAGATTCCGTACACGGGGAGAAAAGCAGTATAAGTCCTATCCATGACTCAAAAAGTTTGCTGGAAATGTTCAGTTTGTGAGTCGAAAAGTAGGCAACATCATTTTTAGGCCAAGGACACACCAAAATTTTTACAATTATCTACATTTTGATTTGCGATTTACTGACCCCAACTTGTGGACTTTTGTGTACTGTGTATTCTTGGGAGTGTGGCCGGGAGGGAACGAGCAGGGGTGCCGGGGGCAGGGTCACGGCACTGCAGTGCGGTTGCATGCCCCAGCGGAAGTAGTCCGGAAAATATACATACACACATAGAAAGTGAAGTGAAGTTAACTTATCTGCACGCGCACAACCACACACATTTGCATGTCGCCACGCACAAGCGTCTATATAAGTGTGGATATATCTGTCTGAAGGAGAGCGGTTTGCCGGGATATATATAAACTCCCGCTGCCACTGACACTGAGACGGGGACAGGGACAAAAGGAAGTCAGAGAGGGATAGACAGCCCTAACAAAATGTTGCAATTTGCTTTCAAGTTTTCGCAAAATACTAATTGGAACTATAGGAAACAGCAGAAGGAAGCGTTGTCATCCGCAGACTTTGGGGGACTTTCAACTTTTGTGTTTGTACTTGTAATTGCTATTTGCGGCCAAGCTCTTTCTGCCACTCGAGGGTAGTTTTCTAATGAATTCAGCAGAAGAAAGCACAAAGAAATTTTGGTCAGCGACAGGAACAGGTGTTTCCTGTTCTTCATGGAAACTGAAAATGATCGAAGCATCTGCGTTACTCATTTGCAATTTGTAGAACTTGAAAGGAATCCGGTGTACTCTTAAAGCATATACACAATTTTATTTATAATTTTTTGTGTTTATAACACTCGTATATTTGAACTGCATTAGTTACACTAATATGTAATCAGTTTATTCAACATTCAAAAGTTACTTTGAATGGTTATACAAATTGAACTTAAATAGTGTATGATTAACGAATGCTTTCCAGAGATGAAGCATTTCCAGAAAGAGAAATATTTCTCGATATGAGTTCCTGGCATGATGCACAATCTGACGTTTATTTATACTCCCGATGAAGTTATTTGCAGTTAAAGCTTTATTACTCTTTTTAATTGATCCACTGTCAGGACCACCGAATTTCTTAATATTCTTAAATTCCTCTTTTCGGAATTGCAATTAACGCAGTTGCAACTGATCGAAGTCATTCCGAGCATTTTTGTTGATTGTTTTATGGCTTCCTGGTAGGAGGGCCAGTTCCCAGTTCAAAATTGACCCCTCCCCGATTTGTGGAACGACTTTTATGGCGCACTCAAGGCAGGGCAGCCCCAAGTTTCTGACAAAAACAATCGGCCTCTTAATAGGCTTATGACAATTCTTGGAGCGCCAGTTGAATGCGCCAAGCGGGACAGTCATATGACAGCAGCCAGATCAGATCGCATAATTTTTAAATGCCAACTCCATATGCGATAATCAGAAACAGGAACAGCGAGGGAGTAATCGAGTCAGATCCGACTTGGAACAGATTAAATTTGCAGCTATTAATTAGCTGGCGACGATCTCCAGTCGCATTAAGTCAAGTCAAAGCCGTTGATTCAGTGGTGCTCCAAAGCCAGGAAAATGAGGGGGACTTTAATAAATTGAGCAACTCATTAACGTTATTATCAATAACAATAACAGATATTTCCGGCCGAATCGTTGACACGATTGCGATGCCCGCTTCTCAGTAATAAATTAACATTTTTAAGGTAATTTGTCAGTGAATGAGTGCGACCCACTGAAAAACGCCGCTTGACACCTGTAAAATGCGTTAATAAGACCTGTACGACTACTTGGGCGGCAAAATTAATGAATCGAGAGTAGGAAATCCCAGATCCCACATTAAGTCAATGACTAACATCATTACACGATTTTGTTACGTATCATGGAAATATCAAAATGAAAGCCGTAGAATATATACATATTTACTTTTAAGTTAATGAATCACCGGTCAAGTAAGAAATATAAAACATAACCATTTGAACGTGTTAATTCAGCCTTTGGATCCAACTTACGAGTCGTTATTAACACAAAATTTAAAAGAGGCAGGCCAGAAAAGGAGGACCCTTGAGTAAAAGTAATTTTCTTAGGCTCTTTTTATTATTCTCAACTTCTTTCTCGATTAATTTCAAAAAGGTATTCCTGGTTTTGATAATTTAGAGTTTTAATTAGAGTAGTGGGCAGTCTAAATTCCAATTGGCTTGAAAAAATGTAATTTCTTATGGAGTAAAAGGACCCTGCTCACTGTCGCCCCCTGGTGGCCAGTCATGCAACCTGCACATGCATTTACTTTACTAAAAAAGCTTTTTATTAAATTTCGCTTTCAATACATAATACTGCATTCGCTGCGGGCTTCCTTTCTATTTATTTTTTTAATTGTGTCACGTAGGGACCTATAGAAAAACCAGCTGCCGTTTCGGCTTTGCTTGCTGGCTGGCTAGAAAAAGGTAAAATAAACTACATCCGATACGTGTTTGTGTGTGTACTGCAACTCACACGCATTGAAATGCAAGGAGCGGAAAAATTTTCGAGCCGAGCACAAGAACAAATAATGCCCAATTTGCATTGGCAAAAGAGCGGAATACAAAAACCCCGCTAATACCAACGAGAGGTTTATGCACTAAAAAATATATATGGGAGTAGGGAAAAGGGGAGTTATATGATATGTTATCGAGATTTTAATATTCTTTTTTTAAAGTCTAAATTGGCATAGTTAATTCAAAACCTAAAAAAAATTTGCTTCTACTGAGGTATTTTACATTTTGTTTCAAATTAAAACATAATACAAGCGACTTTTGTACTTCGTCCCACCTTACGATTACCAGGCATCAACATGAAAACGTGTTCGTTTCAGCTAAAATACACAAAAGCAAGTAAATAGGAAGCACTTCCAATAATTTACACATTCGAATTATATACTTAATTAAGCTGATAACCCAAAAAACGTTGCTTCGAAAAGGAAACAC